GGTCTAGTCTATTTGGTGTTCACTGAACTTCTTGAATGTGTGTTTTCTCTTCATAAGACCTCGGACGTTTTCTTCTTGTACTTCTTACACAATTTTCTCAGTGATTTCCCTGTCCATCTCGTATTTTGGAATTCTAATGATACCCATATTGTTCCTTTTGATGTCATCCCACATGATTCTAACTTTTTTGTCATTTTCTTTATGCCTCATCTTATATTTTTCTTCTAGTATGTTTCTGTTGAAGTTCTTAACTTCCAGTTCACTCTCTCCTCCATCTCTTCTGTTCTACTTTTTGTTCCTCTAGCATTTTGGACACTTCTGTCATTTCAGTCTTAATATTCTGGATTGCATTTCATGCATTTCCGTTATTTAGAGTATTATGTTGGATGTACCTTCTCTATCTTAAGATGATTTTTTTAAAGTTCTCATACCTCTTTATCTGTAGTTTCAATTCTTCTATCTTTTGCATTTTCCTTTGTAGTTGCACTAATTCTTCCTCATCTATATATTTCCTTTTGTTCCCTGTTTCTGAGGTATTTACTGGCTTCCTGTCTCTGAAATATTGAAGTCTGCAGTATTCTGTGCTTTTTTTTTGAGACAGCTTAATTTGTTTTCCAGAGTCTTTGAAACTACCTGCTGCTTCTTTGACATCTGAAGATTTTCTTGATAAGTGTTAGGCTATTTCTATTGTGTCTGTGTAAGTTGTTGGTAATTCTGATTTTTATGCTGTTATTTATTAGTTCCCAGCGTAAAATGTTCAATCTGTGAGGTGAGCCACTCAGTCTACAGAAGGTTCTTTCTGGGGACTTGCCTTTCCTAAAATCCTTCCAGTTCTGTCTGGTGTTCATTGCAGCCCTGCAGAAATCTTGCCTTATTGTAGTCCTCTCTCCCATACTCTGTTGTCCTTCTTCTGTGGAGTAGGGCAAGATTAGGTGCTCCACGCAAGCATTTTCTTTCTAGAGGGCTTTCAAGTCAGCTATCTTTCTCACAACTCAAAGTGTCACCTGAGAAAGTCTTGTCTTTGCTTGTAACCTCTGTCCAAAACTCTCTTGTCCTGTTTGGCACCTAGGATGGCCTCGCAGCCATGGAGGCAAAGGTCCCCAAATGGAGAGACCTTTCCCCAAAGAAGGGTCATTCTTTTCTTTCCCTCACACACTGCTGAAAGTCCCTCCCATGCAATTTACAGCCTCTGAAAACTCTGGAGCACCAGCTGTGAGTTGGTTCCAAGTTGTATAAAAACATCCACAACATTCTAATCTATGAGTATATTTAAATAAACTATTATAGAAAATATTTACTACTTTAGTGAGATAAAAAAATGTTCCAGAAGCAATAAATGAGAAAAAGTTTATTCCCTTTTGTCCGTGGCAGCAAAGTTCCCTACCCTCCCTCAATGCCATTGAGTTGGTTTTGACTCTTAGTACCTGTATAGGACAGGGTAGAATTGCCCTATAGAATTTTCTAGTCTGTATATCCTGTGGGAACAGAGTATTGCCCATTTTAATTTTTTTTTGTGAACAATAACAACAAAAAAAGCTGACAGTTTTGATTAGCAGCCTCACATTTAACCCATTGTGTCACCAGGGCTGCTTGGTCCTGAATTATATCTAGGTCTCTGTAAATTACGATGTTGCTGTCATTTTCTTTTCTTTTTCCTCATCATTTGTTTCCAAAATAACTAGCAAGAATTTTTACATATGATTACTCTCATAGTTCCTGCCCAGATTTACTAGTCAGAGCTGCTTTTGAATGTTATCAGTAAGGGGAAGCAGCCTTGGGGAGGCCCCTTGAGGCTGGCAACTTCAACTTTTAGTTGAAGAAATCAAATGGGACTAAGTTTAGAAGTGTTATCCTTAGAGTAGTTAAATGCAGACATATGTCATTCTAATAATACTCCGTTTGCCTTTTTTGTGTTTGTTTGTGTTACCTCAGTAATTTTGTTGTTCTTTCAGGAAACATCCACAACATCCAATGATATGTGAACCAGAGCATGTGTGGCAGTTTTATAGATCCCAGCCCTCCCACTTTCAGGAGCTATAGAACTACAGAGTTCCAGGAAAGTGACTAAATGTTACTTTCCGGATAAAAGAAAACAAAACTATTGCTGCCATCCAGATTGCTTTTAAGAACTCATATACCTGAAGGGGAAATACATTAATGTAAACAGTTTGTGAGAAATTTAACTGTATTCACAGAGAGTTAAAGTATTTGTTTTTTATTTATGAATTCTACTGAGCACTTATTTTAGGAGAATAATCCTTAATATATCTGTGCTCAGTGTGTAGATAACATTTGGGGACAATATAAATGTCCAGCTTAAAGGAAATGTTCAAGGACAAACTAGTTAGCCAAAGATGTGTAGCCATTGAGAATGTTCTCTGTTGTTGTTATGTGCTGTCAAGTTGCTTGTGACACATAGAAACCTTATGTACAAGAGCCCTGAAACCTGTTCTATTATGTGCCAACTTTACTGCCTCTGACACACCTACCCTCATTACCCAAGTCACTATATCAATCCATCTCATTGATGGTCTCCCTCTCTTTCTCTGTCCCTCCACCCTTCCAAGCATGATATCCCTCTCTAAGGACTGTTCCGTCCTTGCAACATGCCCAAAGTATGTCAGACGGAGATTCAAAATCCTTACCTCAAAGGAGTTGTGTGGTTCACCCTCTCTAAGATGAACCTGTTTGTTCTCCTAGCAGTCCATGGTATATCAACACTCTTTTCCAGCACCACAGCTAAAAGACATCAATTCTCTTTCTATCATCCATTGTCATTGTCCAGTTCTGATGCATAGTAAGCAATGGCGAAGACTATGGCCTGGATCGAGCGCACCTTAGTCTTCAGACTGACATTGTTGCTCTTCAGTACTCTGGAGAGGTTCCTGACAGCCCACTTTCCTATCACAATATGTTTTTTAATTTCCTGGCTGCTGGTACCAAGAGTGTTGATTGTTGAACCAAGCAAACTAAAGCAGTTAACAGTATCAGTCTCTTCAACATTTGTCAATGCTGCCAATCGGCCCAGTGGTGAGAATTTTATTTTCTTGATGTTGGGCTTCAACCCATATTTAAGGCTTCAGTCCTTGACTTTCTGCAGTAAGCATTTCACGTCCTCCTCCATTTCAGCAAACAGGGTTGTGTCATCTGCATAGTGCAGGTTGTTTATGAGTCTTCATCCAATTCTAATGCCACATTCTTCCTCATACAGCACAGCCTACTGGATGATCTGTTCTACATATAGATTGAAAAGGTATGGAAACAGGATACATCCCTGGCATACACCCTTCCTGATTTTCAGCCATGCAGTGTTTCCTTGTTCTGCTCTAACAACTGCCTCCTGGTCCAAGTCTAGGTTTCTCATGAGCACAATCAAATATTCTGAGATTCCTAATCTTCTCAAGAGTCAGCCAAAGTTTGTTGTGATCCACACAGTCAAACACCTTTGCATAGTCAATGATACACAGATAGACATTCCTCTAATACACTCTGCTTTCAGCCAAGATCCATCTAACACTAGCTATAATACCCCTAATACCATAGTCTCTTCTAAATCCAGCCTGCACATTTAGCAGTTTTCTGTTGATGTGCTGTTCCAGTAATTTTTGGATAATTTTCAGCAGAATCTTGCTTGAATGTGATGTTAATGATATTGTTCACTAATTTCTGCACTCTGAATGGGAACAGATACAGATCTCTTCCAGTTAGTTGGCCAGGTGGTTGTCCTCCAAATTTCTTGGCACAACTTAGGGAGCGCATCCAGTGAGTCATCTTTTTGTGGAAATATGTCAATTAGTATGCCGTCAATTCTGGGGACCTTGTTTTTTGTCAGTTCTTTCAGAGCAGCTTGAACTTCTTTCTTCATCATCACAGATTCTTGCTCACACGTTGTTTAATGAAATTCTCTTTGTCAGCCAATTCCTTTTGGTACAGTGACTCTGTATACTCCTGCCACCTTCTTTTAATGCTTCCTGGATTATTTAATATTCTGGCCAAAGCATCCTTAAGTATTGACACTCATGGCTTGAATTTGTTCTAAAATTCCTTCAGTTTAAGAAATGCTGAGCGAGGTCAGCCCTTTTGATTTTCTAACTCCAGCTCTTTGCATATTTCGTTATAATGCTTTGCTTTGTCTTCCTGAGGTGCCCTTGGAAATCTTCTGTTCAGCTCCTTAATTTCTTTCCTTTGATTTGGTTTCTCAGCACTCTAATGTAATATTCTGAGTCTCATCTGACATCCCTCTTGGTCTTTTCTTCCTTCTCTACCTTTGTAATTAAACTTTGCATTCTTCATTGATAATATTCTTGATATCCTCCCTCAACTCATCTAGTCTTTGCTCATACCAATGAGCAAGGCCTCAAATCTGTTCCTGAGATGGTTTTGAAACTCAGATGGAATAGATTTAAGGCCAAATTTTGGTTCTTGTGGATTTTATTTCATTTTCTTCAGCAGGTTGAACTTGTGTCTGAGTAGTTGGTGGTCTTTTCCACAGTCAGCACCTGGCCTAGTTTTCACAGCTAATATAGAGCTTCTCCAGCGATTCTTTCCACAGATGTAATAGATTTGATTCCTATGCATACCATAAAATGAAATCCATTTGTATAGCCTGCGTTTGTGTTTCTTATAAAAGGTATTTTCAATGAATAAGTCATTGAATGTACATAATTCTGTCATTCTTTCTCCAGCTTAGTTTCTGTCATCCTAGTCCATGTTTTCCAACTACTGATCTTTCTTCCCTATGAGAATGTTTCTCTAACAAGATGAAATAACCTGAAAGATACTTTGATATGATTACAAATTGGTAAAATGTTACTATGCTTAGAAAAATATTAAGTATATTAATGAAAGTATGAAGTAGTTATATTTGGATGGTGAAACTTTATGTGACTTTTATTTTTTTACCTTTATTTCAACACTTCTTAAGGTGTAAAAATTTTACTTCCTCTGTAGCTTTAAACAGGAAAAGTGAAAGTTCATCATAAGCATTGGAATAAGACTTTTGTAAAGGAGCATTGTACAACATGGATTCTCTGACAGAAGAATTTTTTGTGAGGTAAGGGATGAGTTATCAAAAATCAACTCTGTTGACTTTTCAAAGACTCACTCTTTTCTACTTAACTTTGAGAAGTTAATGGCAAAGAGTCTTATGGTTTGGGAAAACTTATTAACTTTGATTATAGAGGGATAGATAATGATTGACATTTAATTTTAAATTTAATTTTAAAAAAGCTGCCTAAGAAATTATCTTCCTTGTAGAATTCTCATAAAAATAATATTATAATTTAAGTAACATGTATGTAGATTTTTACAGATACATTAATACATATTCATATATACACACACTATGGACGAACATATACACACACACACACACACACACACACACACGATATCTATTGTATATATTTCAGTATATTTTTCTATACCAAACTTCTAAGTCTTCTGCAGCAAAACAATATATAGTTGGGATGGTAGTGGAGTGGATTTGAGGGTAGTGATCGCATAACAATGAGTTTTTCTTTTATTTTTCAAGGAGAAGAATGAATTGGGGGGAAGGGGTGGGTAGGGAGAAAAGTGCAACAGTGAATGAATGGAAACCCTCTCTGTAAACTTTCATTAAAATGAATTAAAAAAAAGTCAATACTGCAATGAAGTTTCTAAATTTAGCATCTCATTTTTGTGCATAGCTTTTGTCATCCATAAAGAGCTAATACAAGATATTTTTTAAAAATATATGAAAGATATAACAAAGACTCTGCAAAAAAAAGAAGAAAAAAAGACAGTAGTATAGTAATAGAAAATTTGAACAAGTTATATAACCACTTTGGACATCTATTTACCAAACTTTAAAATACATCGACTGTTATATATGGTTACTGATGTAAATTCTTGTTCTAAAAAATGGTTGATGATATATAGAATGCTAAAGGACAACATGGTTGATGATACTGAGAATTCTCTATTAAAATTATTGATGTAAAGAGTAATATTTTTCTATTAAATTGCAAAACAGGTGCTTTCTGCTCTATAACCATCCAGTAAAATCATGGCATGATTTTTTTGTTGTTTTTATTACTGAGTTCTCAGAGCGTTAAAGAACCTGCCCCCTATCAATCTGTGATACATATTTGTTACAAATAGAAAACTTCAGGTAGAAATTCAATTGTTAAATTTTTTACTACTCTGATTGAATTATATCCTTTTAAGGAGATGCTTTAATAATTTCTTTTTTACCTAAAATAGTGATCCACCTGTAGAAGAGCAATCTAATAAGGAAAGTGAAGATAAAGTAGAAGAATCAGCTAATCCTTCGGTAAGACAAGATTTCACTTTCATTAACTGGTAATTAACAGTGACTTAACTGCTGCAATCCCAAGGGCACACGCTTCAAATCCACCAGAGAAATCCACCAGAGGCTCTACAGCAGAAGGATGGGTAGTCTCCTACCATGTGATTTATTGCCTCTGACAGCCCACTGGAGGGTCAGCTATGAGCTGGTTCTGAGTCAACAGCGCACAACACAGCTTGTTACTTAAGTTTATATAGTCAGAACCTGACTTATGACATACTCAAGTTACTATGAACTGAACTTAATATTGTATGATTTTTGGTTTGGGATTTTTTTTTTTTAGTTCATCAAATTGTTAATGTGTTCTACATGTAGTATTACGGTCATACATGCTATCATTCTTGAAAAGTATGCCTACTGAGAAGAGTTTTTCTTTCAAGATTCAACTGCTGTTTTGTAATGTTTCTGGACATTCTCCTCACATAGTTGATCTAAGATGTAAAAATGGTGTATCTTCTTCCTAGTAGGACATTTGGCGTTCTGCATGTGGATGAAGGTGCAGTCACTTTGAAGGCTTATTACTCAATCCTTTGCTCTGGCAGTGGCTATGTGAATGGAGATATGGTGCCATCATGTGATTTCTGGAAAAATTATAATATTCTTTAGTGGATCTGTATGACAGAAGCAGAGTTGATACCTCTGTGTTGTGGTATTTGAGAAGAGTACTAAATATCCCAAAAGAACAAAGAAATCAATTCTGGAGGAAGTGCAGCCAGGGTGCTCCTTAGAAGCAAAGAGAGTGAAACTTGGTTTCACACATTTTGGGCCTCATGTCAGGAAGAGTCAATTCTAGGGAAAGGACATCATGCTGGGAAAGATGGAGGCTGGAAGAAAGAGGAGAGGACACCCCCAAGTAAGAGGGATTGACACACTAAAAGTGGGTTTAAGGGTATCAGAGATCACAAAGATGGTGCAATATAGGGCAAGGGTCAGACATGTTGATAGGGCCACATTGAGACATAGTTGACTCTATGGCACCTGAAATCAACATCAGTACACAGCCTATTAGAACATGACTGTAGATCAGTTAGCCATCAGTGATGGTGTTAAGTCTCAAAGAAAAGTGTTTCTGAAATCTCAGATATTTTGCCAGCTCTCAAGAGATTCAGATATGCGTCATTCCATTTAGCTGTTGTGTTTACAGTTTATGTTATTAGTCTATTTCTTTTCAAATTGCTGTGTTCAGTAGCAGATTCAGTGGTCAAAGTAAAAAAAAAAATCTTAGGTTGCTTTTTTAATACTATTATGTAGAATAAACTATACATTATTTTAAATGTGACAATTTTTTTTAAACCTTAAGTGGATCTGTTGAATATATTTACCATGGGAAAACCTTTTTTAGACAGTTCATATTTAGTACTAATATTGTTCATGTCCTCTTCCACCAAAAGCAGTATAATTATTCCTATCCTGGAATCTTTACATTATTTTATTTGGAACCTTCAAGTGAATTTATGATTTACCCAATATTAAAACTACTTAAGTTTTGATCTTGAGCTTCATGTTTTGTTTTAATTTCCATTAGAATAGGGAAAATGTCTTATTCAGATTTTTCCTAGTTTTGTCAAATCATCTACATATAGTAGGCAATTTTACTGTTTTATTTGACTTGTAACACAGTAAAACAGAGCATACATAATTTTGTAACTTTTTTTATTATTCAGAGAATATTAGTTTCTGTAATCAAACCCAAGTAGATAAAACCTTAGATATTTAATACAGTGCATTACCCCTGCACAAATGGAAAACAAATTCAGTAACATTTCTAGACCAATATGACTGTTAATTTCTGTATAGTGCCAAGTCAGTACAACTGGAAAGCTTTTTACAAAGTTGACAACACAGTGTGTGTGTGTGTGTGTGTGTGTGTATTTAAATAAATTTTGTAACTTTTAATGAATACATCCTTCAGATCAAACTTGAAAAGGACACAACTACTGAACTTATCCTTATTAACCTGCTGCTAGAAATGAAGAAGTTGTTGAATGCAATACATGCTCTACCAAAAGGTGTGATCATGCACATTAAGAAGTTTTTGCAGGAAGATTTTTCCTTCCAAACTATGCAGGTAAGATTGTAATTTGTTCTTTGAGGCAGAAGTATAGCTCTTTGATTATTATAAAATTCCAAATCAGTATACATAAGGTCTTGAAATCTGCATCTTATGTCTTGTAAATGGCTTTTATGTTGACCTTGATTATAGACTCAATGTTAATCAAATAGAAATCTTTAGTCCTAGCCATTCTAGAATGATTGTAGGACTGTAGCATCACAGCTTGTTAACTGTGGGCAAGAAGGTCTTATGTTTATTCCATGTTTACTAATAACACATAGCATGGCATTCTGGGACAGGATTCTGCTTATCTTTTTTAATTTATAAAATATTTAAAATTTCTCAAAATTTCAAGGTAAAGAAAAATAATATTAAAAAGTTTGTGATTTAAGAATATAATATTCTAGAGAATATTATGTTGTGAGTCTCCATCTTAGAAGTAGTACTACTTGATAAAAACCTGTGATCACTTCAGCACAGGATGACTATTTTAATTCTTAAATTAATGATGTTTTCCAAAGATCTTTTCTTTGTACTATTGGGATGTTGGAGGGAAGGACCAGAACACCGTAAATAAAACTCGAAATCCCTTGCTGTTGAGTTTATTCCAACATAGTGAGCCTGTAAGACAGAGTAGAACAAACTTCTAGGAATTCCAATGCTGTAGTCTTTACAGGAGAAGCTTTGGTGGCACAGTGATTAAGTTGCTGATGTTGTTATATGCCATCAAGTTGCTTGCAACTCATAGTGACCCTGTGTACAACAGCTCTGGACCCTGCTCTATCTTGAGGCAACCTTATTGTCTCTGACATACCTATCCTCATCACCACAGTCACTGCGTCAATTCTTCTCATCCAAGGTCTTTCTCTTTTGTTCTGTCCCTCTACCCTTCCAAGAATGATGTCCCTCTCCAAGGACTGGTCCCTCCTTGCAGTAAGCCCAAAGTATGTCAGATGGATATTTAAAATCCTTGCCTCCAAGGAGCAGCCTGGTTTCAGCCGCTCTAGGAAGAATCTGTTTGTGGCGTACTACCATGTTTCTCCTCTTTAAAGCAGCTTATGTGTTCTCCTAGCAGTTCATGGTAAATGCAATACTCTTCTCCAGTACCCCAAATCAAAGATATCAATTCTTCATATCATCTTTAGTCATTGTCCAGCTTTCTGGACAGCAAGTAATTACGAAGATCATGGCCTGGATCAGACGCACCTTAGTCTCCAGACTGATACTGTTGCTCTTCAGTACTCTAGAATGCTCCTTGACAGCAGATTTTCCTAAACAATTTGTCTTTTGATTTCCTAGCTGCTAATCCCAAGAGTGTTGATTGTTGAGCCAAGAAAGTTGAAGTTGTTAACAAGTTCAGTCCCTTACTATCTATCATGATGCTGCCAATTGGCCTAGTGTTGAGAATCTTTGTTTTTTTGAGGTTAAGCTTCAGTCCATATTTAAGGCTTCAGTCCTTGCCTCTTCAACTAATGCCTCAGGTCTACCTCAGTTTCAGCAAGCAAGGTTGAGTCATCTCCATAACACATGTTGTTGATGAGCCTTCCTCCAATCTTGATACTACATTCTTTCTCACTGAGTCCGGCATCTCTGATGATCTGTTCTGCATATAAATTGAAGCGGTATGGAGATAGGATGCATCCCTAGCATACACTTTTCCTGATTCTGAACCATGCAGTTTTCTTGCTCTATTTTGACAGTTGCCT